AGAAGTAGCCAGGAAATAAAGCCGCCATCAAAGTACGTATGTATGTCCGTGTGTGTGTCTACATGATTTGTGCATTTGTCGGAGATATGTTTTGGTTGTGTAATTCTCCTGTTTATTTTAATGCACACACTCGCACAAGACACGGGATGATTGTGCTTAAGCGTACATAAATATTAAGCAAAAGACAACATAAAAAAGAAAAACAAGAACAAAAAAGGAATAGTAAAGGCGAGTAAAAAAACGCGGCCAACAAAACCGACCGACAACGTTTAAACGACATCCCAATGAAAGTGTTAGATTACGGAACGGATATTAAAGCGGGGAAGTCTGCCTATGCTTTAAGTGTCAACATTGCAAACAGTAGCTGGCCATAGAAGTTGGACTAATGGGAATTAAAGACATGAGAGAAAAGTGTTGGGGGAGGCGATTGTTGAAAACCTATGGATGAAAGAACCTCCAGGGACCTTTCATGAAAAATAGGACTTTGAAATGTCTTCCATGGCTAAAAAACTCAAGGAAGTACTCAAAGATACAACATACTTTTAAAAATCTTCCTCAGATGGAAAAGGTCAAGAGCAGGAATTATTAAATTCTTCGGTTGGACATGTTTGAAGGACCTAGCCATAGATATTAAACCTTTGAGGGGACTTTAATGGATAATTAATGCTACAGGCCATCTACAGATATAAAATCTTTAGAAGATCTTCCGCGGGAGAACCTCGATATATCTTTTACAGAGAGAATACCTTCTAAAGGTTTTCCTCGACCGGTCCTTTTTTAACAGAATGCCTTCTGAAGGTCTTCCTCAAATAAAAATACATTTTACAGGCCTTCTATGGAAAAAATGCCCTCTTGAAGGACATCTACAGGTCGAAGACCTTTATTGGTCGGAAGGTCATCTACAGGTCGAAGACCTTCATTGGGTGTTCAGTAGTATTAAGAATGTCAAAAAGTCGTCTATAGGTAGAAGTCATTCCAAAAGCCTTATATTTACAGAAGTCGCCCTAAAGTTAATCTGCTCTAGCCTTAAAAGGTCTTGTACAGGTCTTTTATAAACTCGCAACTTTTTGGGGGTCTTCCATCAAATAGCTTTAGAGTTTTTCTATGGACTGATGACCCTCGACTGGGCCTTATATTTACAGAATTCCGCCTTAAATATCTTATGAAGCTTTCTAAAGGCTTTGTATGTGTAGAACCCATGTTGTAGGTCTTCTATAAACCCTCTTTTTAGTTTTCGAGTTTTTTCTATGGACTGATGACCCTCGGCTGGACCTTTGTATATGGAGCACATTTTAAAGATATTTAAAAGTGTAAAGGCCTTTAGAAACCTTTTTAGGTCCTTCATAGACCGAATAGAGAATAATCTCTTTGAACCCATAGCAATGTAAAAGGATTCTAGAGACATTCTGAAATTCTGAAGACTACATTAACGTCTTCTTTGGGTAAAGACACCTTCTGAGAGTATTCTATAGGACATGGGACATTCAGAAGGTCTTCAATAACCAAAAAAAATCTTTGGTCTCCTATAAACCAAAGGCCTTTTAATGAACTAATATTAGCCGAATACCTTCTGCAGTTGTTCTATAGCCAGAAGATCATCTAAGTAGTTCCAAACGTCTTCTATATACAGAAGACCTTCTCCTAGTCGTATATTTATGGAAGAAACCCGTAAGTCTTTTTTAGAGGTAAGTCCTTCAAATTACCTTCTGAAGGCATACGATCATCTTAGGGTCTGCTATAGACAGAAGATAATCCTAAGGCATTATCTTGGCAGAATTATTTCCACGGCCTTCTATAGTCAGAATATCTTCTCAAGGACATATATCTAAGAATGTGTCTATTGAAGAAAGAATGCATTTCCAAAGTCCTAGTATGGGTTACAACAGAAATAGACAGAAAATCTGATCAAGACCTTCTGCAGACAATATACATTCCCAAGGTATACTAACTAGAGAAGGCCACTCTAAAGACGTCTATAGGCAATAGACCTTTTTGCGACAAAAGGGCTTCCTTTTTTTTTGTTTTTGTTTTCTGTACAAAGAATACTTTCTGGTGGTTTATTGGCGGAATACCGTCCATGAGTCTTCTATAGGCATAATACCTTCCATTAGTCTTCTATTCGCAGAAGATCTCCTGAAATTTATCTACAAGACTTCTTTGGATAAACCGGTAGAAAATCTTCTTACCGTTTTTTTGGACAGCAGAAGTTCTACAAGACTTCTAGGAACAAAACATCTTTGAAGGTTGCATTTAAACAGGTCCTTTTTAAGAGACTTTCTTCGGCTCTTTTTAGTGGGCAAAGAGCGTCAGCTCCTGCAGACCAAAGACTTTCTATATGTCAACAGTTTTTCTAAAGACCCCCTATAGAAGCATTTATTTAACGGTCTTCTAAAGAGACCTTTCATAGGTTTTCCGAAGGGAAATAAAAAAGAAGTCATTTTAGAGGAAACCCTCTAAAAGTCTCTTATGGGTTAAATGCCTCCTGGAGGTCTTCTTTCACCTCCTCTTTCACCAGCAGACTGCTTATCGGACTCCTATGACATGGAGATCTTTTAAATACCATGTATTCTCCAATGGCCATCTTTGGAGGTCATGGACAGGAAATTGTCTTTAGTTCTTTTATGGGCCATAAAACTTTTCAGGGTCTTCTAAACACCGAAGACTTTCTGCAGGTCAAAATTCATTCCACAGGTCTTCCATGTCTATACTCTAAAACCTCTCTAAAAGTCTTCAGTGGGCTAAATATCTTCTAGAGGTCTTCTTTTACCAGAGGACTGTCTAAAGAACTCATTTATCAAGGAGATCTTCTAAAGGCCATATCTTCTTCAGAGGCGTTGTTTGGCGGTCTTTTATAGACGAATGACTCTCTGTAGGCCTTCCAATGACAGGGGACCTTCTTCACTTATTTTATGGGCATAAAGCTTTTCAGGGTCTTTTAAACACAGAAGACATTCTATAGGGCAAAAGTCATTAAACGGGTCATCCATGAATATAATAATGATATTCTTCAAGGGACCGAATACCTACTAAATAACTTATAGCCCCTAAAGACCTAAAATGGGCTAAATGTCTTCTAGTGGGCTAAATGTCTTCTAGTTGTACCCTATAATCATAATAATTTCTAAAGGACCTCAGGACTTGAAGTTCTTCTAAAGGCTGGAAATCCAGGGAAGGTCTTTTTGGGCTACCTGCCTTCTATAGACGAAAAACCTTTTACAGACCTTACATGAGAAGAAACTCATCATCAGATCTTTTGTGGTCCAAAGATATTGAAGGGGCTTTATAGAGAAAATTTCAAAATTCCTTATACAGGTCACCTACGGTTGCAGAGGTATTCTCTTAGAACTTCCATTGGGTTTCTATCGATAGAAATCATTCAATCCTTCATAGACTGAAGACTGTTTGGATATTCTCCTTAGACTGAAGGCCTTCTAAAGGTCCTCTATTTAGAAAAGACCTTCTAAAGGTCCTATATTTAGAAAAGACCTTCTAAGGCGTTTCTATCCTCTAAAAATCGTCGAAATGTTCTTCATATGTCTTCGGTGGACTAAATGTCTTCTGGAGGTATTATCTCATCGTCTAAAAGATCTCTATGACCTAAAGACCTTCTAAAGACTTGAAATCCTTTAAGAGCCATTTGCGCCCAAAAAAACTTTCTTAAGATCTTCAATGAGCGGAAGATTCTCTAAAGGTCTTCGAAGGGAGGAAAACCTTTTAAAGGTTTTTGGTGAATATTAATTTAAATTCTGTATTTTAGATGTGTGCTGTATACTTTTAGGCGTTTGATGTGTGAAATAATAATTTAAATTCAAAATTTTACATATGTGGTGCATACTTTTAGGCGTTTGATAAGTGAAATATACAAGTGTGAAATAAAGTTTGCAGCAAGAAATAATATTTTATAAATTGTTGGTTCCAACAAATTTCCCACCCGTCACAATATTTCCACTCCACACTGTGGCATTTAATTCAACCGCATGCATAATAATATGAAATTGCCTGTGGTAAAGAGGCAGAAAGAAAGTAACTAGCTCTCTGCTGCTTTTTCGATTCCGCAAAAAAAAATAACATTTTCCCATTACAAACATACATAGGCGATATTAGTGGTTTTTTCAAAGCGTGTTGTTGCTTGGCTAAGTGCAAAATGTTTATGCCATTACTGTCAAGCGAGCGAACTGAACAAAAAAAAATGCCATGAAAAGCCCCCAGAACGGAACGAATTTAATGCTTTCGACATTGGACAGAGATACTGAAATTCGAACATATGTATGGACATGGAAAAGAGATAAATAGCGACTCGTGTATTTTATGTATGGCCAGGAAAGAAGACAACAACGACGATGACGACGACGATGGCCAAGAAGAAGGAAATGGTCAAAATGTTTAGAAGATTAGAGTTTGACACCCTAGGAGAAAAAAAGTGTTTACGCTTTTGGGTGTTTGTCTTGTCTGGGAGGTTTTTTTTTCGTTCTCCTCCTTTGCCTTTGTTTGTTTATGGTTGACAGTTGAATAATAAATGCTGAAGCAGGACAAGAAAGTGGTGTGGGGTGAGGGGGGTTCTTTACAGCTCTACGAAGAAATGCCTTGCTAAGCATCATCTCATTGACATATTGCGGGACATATAAAAATATGTTCATCGTTTGTATTTCCCTTTTGGACAATATATTCTTCGCCGGCCACATATATTGACACTTGAGGCAGGAAATTAAATGTGCAGAGACGATGAGGAAAATAAAGCATGGAAAATGCCATACAAATGTCAAATCAACTCCTTGCAATGTTACAGTTATTAAAACAGGCCACTGTCATTATCGTCAGCATCAATTGTGGTCTGGTGTTCCTTGAAGTATGGCAGGAGATAGCTGGGTTTATCAGCTCAGCTCATCTCCTTCTCCTCCTCTCATTTGTTTTTATGTCAATTTGTTATTTACAAAAACGGAAAAGAAAGAAAGCATCTTAGTGCTCTAAAAATAGAAGAAGGATATTGGGAGGGTACTCACTTTATTAATCTTTTGCTCTAATCGCAAAAATGCCGCCTCAAGATCAGCAATTCGACGTTGCAGATTGTCCTGTGAAATGTTGGGTGGGTGGTTCATTCATATTTTTTAAGTCGGTTGATTGGTTGGTTGTTTGGTTTCAAGGTAGGACAGTTGGATGGATGCAGGAGGGTTTGAAGGACAAAGAACAAAAATATTGAAAATAAAAAAGAGAGAAAAAAAAAACAAAATAATAATGAAATGAAATGGATTAAAATAAAGGATACATAACACAAGGAGGGTCGGTCAACACAAATGGAATTTATTTTAAGCGTGTGTGTGTCTGTGTGAGTGCATCTGCTCTGGGTGTTAATGAAAAGCGAGTGAAATGTGCTGATTCCATGAATAAATTTACAAAATATTTTACAAATTTACGAAAGTTTTTTACAGAGAGAGAGAGAGAGAAAGGGAGAGCAATTCGATAGGGGTATAGTTAACCATTGCTGCAAAATAATTTAAAGCTATTGAGAATTATTTCAATAAGTATACAAAGTTGAGCCAATACATAGGATCCCAGGAACATACATACGACGTTCTCAAAGTCTTCAATGAGCAAATAACATTTTCCAGGTCTTTTATGGGCAGAATACATTCTCAGGGGGTTTCTACTTGATTAATACCTCTTTAAATTATTTTATAAATAAAGGTCGCTCTATAGATCTTCTATAAGCTTTCTGTAGATAGAAGACCTCCTTCGGGCGTTCTCTAAACCAGAGACCTTCAACAAGTCATCTATAGAACGAGGACATATATGTGGAAAGTATGCCAGATATAATTTTGGTTTTTATAAAACCATGGCTCCCCGACAGTCTTCTCTAGACAGAAGACCCTTTATAGGTCTTCTATAAAGCGAAAATATCCTTCAGGTTTTCTACAGACTAAGTGGTTCAAGAGGTCTGTGAACAAAATATCTCATGCAGGTCTTCCATGGTTAGAAAATCTTCTACATAGCTTTCAGTAGATAGAAGACCTCCTACAGGCGTTCTCTAAACCAGAGACGTTCAACAAGTCATCTATAGAACGAGGACATATATGTGGAAAGTATGCCAGAGAGAGCGAAAATTTTTTATAAAACCATGGATCCCCGACAGTCTTCTTTAGACGGAAGACCCTTTATAGGTCTTCTATAAAGCGAAAATATTCTTCAGGTTTTCTAGAGACTAAGTGGTTCAAGAGGTCTGTAAACAAAATATCTCATACAGGTCTTCCATAGTTAGAAAACCTTCTTCTATAGCCCAAAGGCCTTTTAATGGATTTCCATTAACCGAAGACCTCCTACAGATCTTCTATAGCGGGAAGATCTCCTACATGTTTTCCATAAACCAAAAAGCTTCTAAAAGTCTTCTAGACGCGGAAGACTTTCTCCTGATCTATTCCATAAGAAATTCTATGTCTTCTTTAGATGGAAGTCATTCAAATTCCCTTGTGAAGGCAAAAGATCTTCCCTAGGTCTTCCCTGGGACAGGTTTTTCCTCTGTGGGCCGATCTTATATTTACAGGCAAACTTCTACATGACCTCTTTGAACAGAATACTTTCAACAGCTGTTCTATAAGCAGAACTCCCTCTACAGGTCATCTAATCCATTGCTGTAAAATAATTTACAGCTATTGAGAATTTTTTCAATAATTATACATAGTTTAGCCATGACATGGGATCCCAAGAACATATGTTCGACATTTGGTTAAATAAGCCTAAATAAGATAGCCACAGGGATTCCCAGAGAGCTAGATTCATATTCTGCAGGATTTTACTGAGGAATTTGATAATACTAAGATTTTGACCTTTATTGGACTTTTAAAGAAATATTTAAAAATATTTAAGAGAAATATTTCAAAATTCTACCCTGGTACAGAAACGCCTCCACCATTTACAACGAATTTGAAAATTTTCGAAAAAGATAACATTCGCAAAAACTTCTGTTAACATTTTAAAAATACCGAATATAGCTGTTATATTAGGGCCTGTACGACGTGTTCCTACATAGGCATTGTTGGTCACAAGCCATTACCATATTCAAATTCGAAACTTGAAATAAACGGTCAATAATGTAGCCAAAATCATCAAAATACCCTACATAGGGTGGTACCGTTATATAGGAGCTATACGAAGACCTGGACCTGCATAGACAATTTTCTTTCACAGGCTGTAGCTTCCATTACGAACTTCAAATACGACATCTCAAACAATTTCGGTGAGTATTGTACAGTCCAAATACCGAATATAAGGAGGTACTGATATATGGGGCCTACACGAAGACCTGGACCTGCATGGGCAATTTTCTGTCACAGACTGTAGTTCTCATTGCGAACTCTAAATACGTAATTTGAAACTACTACGGGGAATAATGACGCTAAAATCATCAAAATACCGAATATAGGGAGGTACCGTTATATGGGGGCTATACGAAGACGTGGACTTGCACAGACAATTCTCTGTCTCAGGCTGTAGTATCCATTTTGAACTTCAAATGACAAATTTGAAACAATTCCGGTGAATAATGTCGCTAAAATCATCAAAATACAGAATATCGGGAGCTACCATTATATGGGGGCTATATGAAAACGTGGACCTACATGGCCCATTTACGAACTTAACCTGCCTACTGGCAAAATAAATATAGTGGTATATGTGGAGTGGTATATGTGGATATATTCCATTTTCTCACCAGACCCTGGACAAATAAAAATATTGTGATGACCTTGGGTTAATGAAAACAATCGGACTCTTACATTACATTTTATAAGAGTTATAATTATTCAAAATTTTTACCCATTGTGGTTGAGATACTTGATGGAGCGGCATTTATGCAAATAGTAGGATTTGCAAAGATAGAGAAAAATCGAATTATCATTTATATTTCTGTGCAGAAATTATTTTTTTTTTGAAAATTTCGACTCTTTGTTGGGAGATACCAGAAGTACTCGACCGATATTGTCCGATATAGAAAAAGAAATTATCATTTATTTATGTTTAAATTTGCATATCTTGATTTTCGTATCAGAGCTTGGTGCTTCACAAAGGCTCAAAATTTTGAATAATTCCATCACTTATAAAATGTGAAAGAAGAAATTTGGCATATCTCAATTTTAGCAACAACCTTAGGTGTGATCCGACTACTCCTTCTGGTACCTTTCCCTCAAAGGGTCAACATTTAAAAAAATCATAATCTTTGGTCAAAATTTGGAAAACCCATAAGGAAGACGGGAGAACTTGATGGATTACCATAAGGTAATTACACACAATTTTTTGCCTTCTGTCATTACAACTTATTTCCTTATTTCCTCATTACAGCGCAACTACGAGATTCATATTGACAAACCAATCTTCTCACCCCGCTCCCAGTTTCTATCTTCTATCTTTCTTCAGAAGACCTGTAGAATCCATACCCTTGATGTATTCTCGTCACATACACCATTCTATTAACACATGTGGCGCATAATTATGCGTGTGAATAGTTCGTTTGATTCCTTCTTTTTTTTGCTGCTGCTGCTGCTGCCAAATGCATTCAGACAATGTCGGTTAACATCAAAACCAAGTCAAGTCAAATCAAGTCGAGTCGAGTCAATTTCATATCAATTTTCAGCGAAGGAAAATCAATGCGAAATAGTCACACGTATGGCCATTGTCTTCATCACCACTAATAACAACAACAACAAGAGCCGTCACAGAAAATTGCATTGATTTTCTGTTGAAAGGCACACAGGCACTTGTTGCTGCAGCGGCTGTCGCTTTAATAACGCTTAACATGAGAAAAATAATAAGAATAGCAAAGCGAATAAGAATGACGTTGAAACACGCATGCGTATGGTTTTCCAATGACTTGGTGACTTCGATGGCTTATGTTGCATCAAAGAGTGCGTGTGTGTGTGTTTTTTTTCGCTGGAGTTACATGGAAGTTGCAAATAAAAATAATTTTTTTCTTTAATATCCTGCTGAAGTAACATTGGAACACTGGAGAGGGCAGACAAAGAAAAAAAAGTATCTTGGCTGTGAATGCATACCAGATTCTATTATCGTTTTGTCTTTTATGTTTTGTAGTTTTGTTCGTACGTTTTTTATTTTGAAATCTACTAAACGAAACTGACAGTAAAAAGTAAATAAAGTCTAGAGAATCATAGGTGCCAGGGATGGATAACATAAATTTACAAAAAATACATTTTTATATATTAAATTTTTAATAGACCCATAAAAGTTCCGCCTTTGGTATCTAGGAAATCTTCCCTCATAAAGAAAGTTTTGTAAAACAACAGCCTTCCTTCAATGGGAGATTTCCTTACTCTCCTCCCATGCTTAAGTAGATGATATATAAATTTTTCATACCCTCAGGCATATGGCTGGAGAGCGTCTATATCATTTGATACGGCCAAAACCTGCCTCATCGAAATAACGGTTTTAGACCCTAGGTCTCTTTGAACCAAATCCGTTTAGGACATTTGGAGTAGATCTAGCGATGTCCGTCCGTCCGTTTTGGTCCTATCTTGGTAGGTCGTAATATTATTATCAAACTTAGATCAAGTTCGGATATGAGCAATATCGGTCCACTTCTTCCGGTACCTCCCATACAAAAGGTCAACATTTTCAAAAAAAAAAAAAAACTCTCGAAGGGATTTGGTACATCATAATATTATTATCGAACTTAGATCAAGTTCGGAGATGGGCAATATCAGTCCACCCCTTCTGGTACCTACCCCACAAGATGTCTAAATTTTCAAAAAAAAAAAAGAAACTCTCGAAGGGAGGTGGTACATCGTAATATTATTATCGAACATAAATCGAGCTCGGAGATGGGCAGTATCGGTCCACTCCTTCTGGTACCTCCCAAACAAAACGTCGACATTTTCAAAAAAAAAAAAAAACTCTCGAAGGGAGTATCCGATTTGGTCCAAACTTGGTACATCGTAATATTATTATCAAACTTAGAATGAGTTCGGAGATGGGAAATATTGGTCCACTCCTTCTGGTAGCTCCCACACAAAAGGACGACATTTTGAAAAAAAAATATTTTTCTGCACAGAAAGAGAAAGGATAATCC